AACTGATGTTTGGTCGGGAACTTCGGTTGCCAGTGGATCTGTTAACAGGACGCCTACCTTACGAAGAGGTGCCTGAAAATGTGTCAGAGTTCGTGAATGTGTTATCAGAAAGGATGGATAATATTCACCATCAAGTGCATTCACACTTGAAAAAGTCTGCTGATTCGATGAAGCTATGTTATGATAAGAGATCTACTGAAGTCAGCTTTGTACCAGGAGAAAAGATGTGGTTGTATAATCCCAGGAAGACCAAAGGGAAGTCTCCTAAGTTGTCTTCTCCATGGGAAGGCCCATTTGACATAGTGGATCGTCTCTCAGATGTGACTTTCCGAATAAAATGAGGTCGGCGAGGTAAGCCAAAAGTGGTGCATGCCAACAGGCTTTGGCATTATCACGGTCCAGGACATTTCAGTTGGAATGAAGTGAACAACAGAACAAATGACGATGCTGAATACGTGTCACCTGAAAAAGCCACTGTCGAAGAAGAAACTCTACCCGATTTTTAGAAGGGAAACAGTGAAGCTCTTGATGAAGTTACTACCACTGATGTGACTGTTACAGATAATAGGACATTTCCTGATGGAGCAGATGAACCCTACGTGAAGCAGAAGCCAACGAGACGGAGACCAGTACGGAAGAAGGTACGTCCCGTAAAATTAAGAGACTTTGTTGAATTTTCATTTTGTGTTTGTAAATTCTGTATATTTAATTAAGTTATTGTTAATTATCTATTGGTTTAATGTAAGTGGCTATTGTTTGGGACGAACAATACTAAAGAAGGGGCAGTGTTACGACAGCGGAAGTCACGTGATGAATTTCTCGAATGATCATGAATTATCGAGGAAGACTAAGTTTGTTCGGGATGCCCTTTTTTTTAGTATATAAGCCTGGCGAGAAAAACCAGCGCGATCGAAGAGATAGATTGAAGAGAGAGAAAGATAATTGAGTCAAGCGAACAGTAGGCACCGTAAGTAAAGTTGTGAATCGCTGTGATTTATAGCGTGTGTGACTGTGGAAATTCTGTATATTACTAAAAGTTGTATCGAGAAAGAATAAACTAGTTTTAATTAAAAAAGGAATTGTATCGCTGAAGTTCCTCGTCAAGAATTTATACCGGAAATTAACAAATGAGCAGATACGTAACAATAATATATTTTGAAACAACATTTTAATTTTTGGAAGTTATAAAAAATATTACAAAAAAGTAGACCTACACCATCAATGAACATGAATACGAAAGTGAAATCTTGTGTAAAGGGTTTTAACACGCATTTGTTTGATAGCAATAAATGATTCACCGGATGTCTTCATTTACAAAAAAATATTTTATTGGTCGTGCTTCGTTTTTTCAAATTATAATAATATTTAGAGAAGTGCAGGGTACAATGATATTGTCAACGTTCACAAAGCAATTAAAAACACAATTTTCCCCAAATCATCTTCAAGCAATAATTTTGAGAAAACATTTAGTAAGTCTATAATCGATCACATGTTGAACAGATATGGAAAAAATGCGTGATTTGCAACACAATGAATACGTAAGAAAAAATAGCGAAATGATGAAATGTTTTATTTATATGGTTTGTTTTTCAAGAAGGCGAGACCTGGCCTTTAGAAGACATGATGGAACAAGTGATTCAACAAACAGAGGAAATTATATTGAACATGTAAACCTTGTTATTCTGTGTGAATAAAAATTTAAGCATTACTTAAATCATGCATCCGTATTTCCTAGGTTATCCAATTGAATGCAAAATTATTTGGTAGTGTCCACATATTAGTTGCTGAAACCCTAAAAATAAATTTGTTAAACTAATCTCGTTTCCTTAATACTAGAAGAGGCAACTCATACGAGTAATTTTTCTCATGTGTCCTCTGTTTTTCGTTATACTACACTAGGTGGACTAGTGCAGGAAAAATGTTTGGATTAAACGAACATTTCCGAAGATCGATCGACAGAGCACTACAATACTGCGCTTAGTGAATTAGTGTGTGGAGGTGTGTATTGGTTGCTTAGAGTTATGGCTGGACAACTAAATCAAAGTAAAAGAAAAATCTCAAATGCAATTTTTATATACTGTATTACAAAGAGATTAAATTTAGTGTTCTATTAAGCAATGTCACTTATAAACGAATGTAGTTGTCTTTTTTTTTTTCTGGCTTTGAATGGTCTAACAGTTTTCTGTTTCAAGTTTGCAAGGAGAACACGATCTATAGACGAAGAAATTAATGTAGTACTGCCAAGGGTATTTATTACCCGCATAGTTGAATTACAGTTCCTTCTGAGTTGAAACAGTTTATGAACGTATGTATTAGATTGTGTAATTGTTTGAAAAAAATCACAAATCCAGAAAAAAAAAAGAGTATCAAGAATCCTACACCGCTTCCCATGAATTTGTAGTCTCGATGAAATATTTTAATTTCCTTTTAAATATATGGTATATATATTTTGGTATATTGTACTTGTACTGTTGTAGGCTAAAACTCTTGACACACTGGCTTTTGTAATACTAATAGTTAAGACTTAAAACATTAATATTGGAAAAACAAACGCGACTAATTTGAAAGGTATATGAGAGAAAACAAATCATTAAGCTAATGAGCGAGACAAAAGAAAAAGACAGTTTGATATTAATATGTCTTACAAACGTTCTTTTCGTGAGTTTTTTTAATATTTTTAAAACAACTAAGGGATAGATTCAAGAACTTGGATTCATTGTATTTTTTAGAATTTTTGCATTTAAAAAAATTATCTAAATACAAAACACGTTTTCCAGAAAATGCTTTCCAGTCTTTAAAGGAAAGCTATGACAATATTTTTGCGTTTTTATGTCAACTGAGAAAGAACTTCCGTCCATATTAAAGCTACAGTTAAACTCTTACAACTTAGTAATTGAAGATTTTACATAGAAGAAGAGAAGAATTGAGCTACATTATTAGTAGTAAGGTAATAAACAAATGCGCGTTTCGTTAACTTAGAATGTAGAGAGCCTCACAGCGGCATGTCTGCGGACTTACAACGCTAGAATCCGGGTTTCGATACACGTGGTGGGCAGAGCACAGATAGCCCGTTGTTTTGCTCTGTGCTTAATAACAAACAAACAAACTAGAATGTAGAGTTTTCGATGATTGCTTCCACTAAACAAATTATTACCCCAGCCTATTAATTCTGGTTAATGGGTGGGATTAATAACTAGGCTAATAACCATGTTTGTTTTTTGTTGTTTAAGTTGCTTTAGTCATCAGTTTGTTCTTGTACAATGTTTTATTCCCATTGATATTCAAGTAGTTATATATAAATATATATAAGTATTGTGCAGCATACCTAGTTACCGCTTCAAATATAAAAGATGCATTATTGTAAATTTTACTTTTAGTCTTACAGTAGAGTAAACAATTATTAGAAAAATAAAATTATTTTGTTATTTTATTTTGTATGTACATATATAAGTATTTGATTACATATGCTTTGATTTGCACATTTTCACATGTAAACTTGGACATAGTCTGGCATTTTACATTTGTTACATTTGCTTAATGCTAAATGTTTCTGTTGTTGTTTTATAATGTTCAAATGTACTAATTCAAGAATTCCAAAAAATTCAGATTTGCTCCTGTAGCCTGTTGCAAAGACTGTATTCATGGACAAAGATATTGTCTAAATTCTAAGCAAAAAATATGTGAGTGAGGATTTTATTTTGTTCCAAAATCTAAAGTTTATGTAAGTCTGTTTCTTGTTGTTATCATTTTGTTTCTTAATCCTAATTCCTGAAAAAGGTGGCCACAAGTTATTAAAAACTTTTCATGTACCGTAACTTAAGGACTTGCTTTGTCTTGTTTTTACTACACTCTTTTTCCTTAAACCCCCAAGTGGCACAGCAGTATGTTTGCAGACTTATACTCCTAGAAACCGTGTTTCGATACCTGTGGTGGGCAGAGCACAGGTAGCCCTTTGTGTAGCTTTTTGTTTAATAACAAACAACAACTTTTCCTGAAATACCCCTTTACTACACTAGTTTTCTGAAATTTCTAGCCCTACTTTTTCACAAGAGAGTGTTGGAAAAATTGTATTAATATAATGACTAATAATGTTTAAACAAATATTACACACACTCAGATAATTTTAATATTATCAAAATAAATTTATTAATTTACAAGTAATTATAAAATCATGCTAGGAAAGAAAAACATATGGACAAAAAAGGTCCATTTTGTCCTTCAGGGCTGTCCTTGTATGCCAACCCTTGATAAAAAGTAAAACTTTAAACCCTCCCTTTATAATTTGGGAAATTGTCAACTGATTCCCCACATAAGTGCCTGAAAAGTGCTGGTCTCTACTAGTTCAATGGCTACTCATTCTGTAAGTCAATTACCCTCTTAAAAAATAATTAACACTGCCCTAACTTGAGCCTTGTCTTTGTAGGCTGAGCTTGCTAAATTTTAAATTTGTATCCTCTCATCCTGCTATGTTCAGAATACAACACAAATAAATCATATGTCTTTGTCTTGTCAATCCGTGATGGTGATCTTGTAAACTTCAACAAGGTCATCTCATACTCTAGTTTATTCAGTAAAAAATAATTTAGATATTAATCTAATTCTATAAGATAACCCTTCCATCCCTGGAATCAGCCTAGTAGCTTTCTGAACCATTTCCAATAAGTCAGTATATTTCCTCAGATAGAGAAACCAAAGCTGTATTCAGTATTCTAAGTGAGGCTGAACTTGCAATTTGTATAATTATAGAGCTAATTACCTCTTTTGTTTTGTAATCAATATGTCTGTAACTATTCCCCAAGATTTTATTAGCTTTGCTACAAGCAACAGAACACCCATGCTTCAATGATGTGATTAACTTATCCACAATAAGGCCAAGATCTTTTATTCAACTGTGCTTTGAGTGGGTTCCTGTATGTATTAAACATATAATTCAAATTATGATAACCCAAATTCTTTATCTTGTACTTACTGTAGTTCGTTAAAAGTCATTTATCAGATATTTCTACAACATACTAAGAAAAGAAATGTTTTTTGTCTTTAAAAATTCAAAGCATTATTTACAGATTAGAAAAAACAAAAATGTATTTATAAAGCTACTAACATACTACATGGTGTACAACAGTTTTTATAAAAACATTCTAGAAGCAAA